CACGCTTGCTAGTGCTTCGTGCAACGACGAAAAATAATCTCATTTACCGCGATATGCACGCGATGGGCGTTGAAAGAAGAAGAAGAAGAAGAAAAAAAAGAAAAATCCTCCCTCGCTAACCAAATAAAATTTTACCCTAGTTAAGTCGTTTATGAAAAAAAAGAAAGAAAGAAAACGTGAAANTAGTGCTTCGTGCAACGACGAAAAATAATCCCATTTACCGCGATATGCACGCGATGGGCGTTGAAAGAAGAAGAAGAAGAAAAAAAAAAAGAAAAATCCTCCCTCGCTAACCAAATAAAATTTTACCCTAGTTAAGTCGTTTATGAAAAAAAAGAAAGAAAGAAAACGTGAAAAAGCGATCAAACGCGTTGTTAAAGGATCGCGAACTGTTCGCTCGATCCGATGTACGCTCGGAGACTGGAGATCCCTATTAAACGAGAAAGCAACGGAATAAAGAGCGTTGTCAGAAACCCTTTTCAAATATCATTCTAGCCTAGTCCTAAATTCCTCCCTATTGTTCGCCCCTACCTTCGTTAGGTAAATTAGAAAACCGAGAGAGAGAGAGGGGGAGGGGAGGAGAGGAAGATTTTTCTTCGAAGCTGGTCGACTCAATTGGGCTCAATCCCATTTCCCTCGTTCAAATACTCGTCTCACGTAATAATAAATCTTCCAACTCTTTGAGGAGAATTAATAAAGTATGAGAAAAACACGGTCGGTTTACGCGTATATTTTCACTTCATCCTCCCTCATCCCTTCGTTTCAACGGAATTAATTCAACGGAGTTAAATCTCGAGGATCGATCGACGGGAGAATCGATCTCTCGCGCGGCGATCGTTCGTATTACACGATATTCGAAGATCGCGCGTGAAACGTAAACGTAACGCTTCCCTGGGCGTTGGAGGTTTTCTCTCGCCCGGTAACGGAAAACTCCGTAGAAAATTTGGAAAAACGGGAAAAAGGGGGGGGAGACAGGGAAGGGAGGCGTAGGTGGAGGCGGAGAGATGGTGGTGCAGAAGCGGCGGTCGTGCGCCTCTTTTTCCACTGTCGAGTGCAACGAACAGAAGCTGCGCCGTTGGGGCGGCGTTGAAAACGCGCAGCCACCCTCGACCCTCGGCCGGTGCATGCGCAATGGTGTATCGATCCCGGAGAATCCGAGATGCACGTAACATCATCCAGTGGTCCATTGGCTGTATACAGAATACCATTTCTCCGTTCATCCGCCGCGCCGTTTCGCGACCATCGCCGACGTTTCGAGCAACGAAACGACGGGACGACGCGTCACAGTGATGCGAGAGCGTCGCGTCCCCGATCGCCGACCGACCGCACCAATCGTCAACGTTTCGAGGAATCGGGACGCTTCGTTATGAGACACGTCGGCAGACGCGAGATCGACTCTCGTGAGAGGAAGAGCACTCGAAGTACTTGAAGTACGTAATTATTCGTTCAATACTTTGTTGTAAACATTGTGATCGATCGATCGATCGATCGATCGCTTTGGTCGAGTTCCTTTTGTATCGAATTATTCGCGAATTATTATTGGAAAGAAATTTAAAATTTCCTCTCGAAATTTTGCTTGAAACAATTCGAGCGAATTTTAACTCGAATCATTTTCATAGCTTCGAGAAATTTGAAAACGAATTTTGAAATTTATATTAATTTTATCAATTGAATAGTTATGCCGGATCATTTCAGAATAAAATCTGAAGATACTTTATACTAATCGTAAATATCGTAAACGCGGTTGCATCTTGAGTCGAAGTAATAACTTTTAATCTTAAAAGAAAACGTTACTACTTACGTTACGTATATTTCGATAAAGATACAAGAAGCAAGAAGTCAACGCAACAAGTCTACGATATCTACACATCTATCTCCAATATATAGCTTCTACAACAATTTTCTGTATAAACAGGATGCCGATCGGATCTGAATCCGGAAACTAGCTACGCTACCATTTAAAATGATACTTCAGGCGATCATCTTGATCCTCTCCGCAAGGATATGCCACGGCAATCCGGACGCGAAGAGGCTGTACGACGATTTGCTGTCGAATTACAATCGGCTGATACGCCCCGTTTCGAATAACAACGACACCGTAGTCGTTAAACTAGGACTTCGTCTGTCCCAACTGATCGATCTCGTGCGTGGCCTTTTTTTATTATGCATATACATAATAATAAACAACATTTCGAAATTTCAGAGTAACGAAATTAATAATTGAAAATTTGCAGAATTTGAAGGATCAAATTCTCACGACAAACGTTTGGCTCGAGCACGTAAGTCTTCGATCGAGATTCTATCGAGAATCTATCGTTATCGGGCGAAGCATCGGTTAATCGAGAAATCGAATTCATTTGCCCAGGAATGGCAGGATCACAAGTTTCAATGGGATCCGGCAGAGTACGGAGGTGTCACCGAACTCTACGTACCAAGCGAGCACATATGGCTTCCCGACATTGTGCTCTACAATAAGTACGCAAACACTAAATCTAAATCCAATAATAATCCATAAATAATCCTTTCTCCTTTTGGCGATTATCGATTTTTGGCAAATTTGGTTTCAGCGCGGACGGGGAGTACGGAGTCACAACGATGACCAAAGCTATCCTACATTACACGGGGAAGGTACTATGGACACCTCCGGCTATCTTCAAATCCTCGTGCGAGATAGACGTTCGATATTTTCCGTTCGATCAACAAACTTGCTTCATGAAGTTCGGTTCGTGGACTTACGACGGTATTCAGGTAAAAGAAAAAAAAAAAAAAAAAAAAAAACAACTTCTTTCCGCTATATTCGACCAACTGTTGGACAAACGAAATCGAAATCCCTGAATCTGAATCCTGATCTGTTCGAATCCGCTGCTCAGATCGACTTGAAACACATCAATCAAAACATGGGAGACAAAGTGGAGATCGGGATCGATCTTCGCGAGTACTACCCTAGCGTCGAGTGGGACATACTGGGGGTTCCAGCCGAACGGCACAAGAAATATTACCCGTGTTGCGACGAGCCCTATCCCGACATCTTCTTCAACATCACTCTACGCCGAAAAACGTTGTTCTACACGGTGAATTTGATCGTCCCATGTGTGAGCATCTCGTATTTGTCGGTGCTCGCGTTCTACTTGCCCGCGGACTCCGGCGAGAAAATCGCCCTCTGCATCAACATCCTACTATCTCAAACAATGTTTTTCCTCTTAATATCGGAGATCATACCATCCACCTCGTTGGCGTTGCCATTGCTCGGCAAATACTTGCTGTTCACCATGATCCTCGTCGGCCTCTCGGTAGTTATAACGATCGTCATATTGAACGTTCATTACCGCAAGCCGAGCACCCATAAAATGGCCCCTTGGGTGAGGAAGATTTTCATAAGGAGATTACCGAAACTTCTTTTAATGAGGGTGCCCGACGATCTGTTGAACGATCTTGCCGCTCATAAGATGCACGGTAGAGGAAGATCCGGGAAGAAGAGCAAATTCAACGCCGCTGTCGCTGCAGCCGTGCAATCGTCCTCCATAGTCTCGTCCCCTGATTCCGCTCGTCATCAACGAATCGGCGGTGAGTGTCGTGCCTATTCCATTCTTATGACGTACCGATTGAAAAAAAATATATATATATATATGAGCGTTGGGGGAGGGGGTGTAACGACGCAACGGTTTCAGGATGCAACGGATTGCACACGACGACCGCGCATAACAGATTCTTGGGAGGGATCGGTGGATACAATGGACTTCCCACGGTGATGTCCGGGTTGGACGAGTCCCTGAGCGACGTAACGCCCAGGAAGAAATATCCTTTCGAGCTCGAGAAAGCTTTGCACAACGTGATGTTCATTCAGCACCACATACAACGGCAAGACGAGTTCAACGCGGTATGTATGGTGTTTTCGAATGAAAGCGTGGATGAAAGTGTTGGGGAGATGTTTGCGGCGTATTATTGCGTAATTTCACGAATTTTGAACATCCGTTTTGGACAGGAAGATCAGGATTGGGGTTTCGTAGCGATGGTTCTCGACAGACTTTTCCTATGGATCTTCACTATAGCTTCGATCGTTGGCACGTTCATCATTCTCTGCGAGGCACCGGCCCTTCGTGACAACACCAAACCGATCGACATGGAATATTCCTCCGTGGCCCAGCAACAATTCCTTCCTAACGGTGATATTTTGGAAACTCTCGTGTAGAAATATTTGGTGTAGGCGTTGCGGAGAGAGCGCAGGGGGTGCCGATGTATCTCTTATTAAAGACTTTATCATAGTACAATGCCGCGTCAATCAAAGATTTTCCCTTCACTTTCTTGTTTCTCAACTCGTTGCGAGACGCATTTGTCCAACCGCGAATCAACACCCTTGGCTACATACTTTATATACGTTTTATTAGAAGATATAAGATTTTCGATATCTCAAAATGTCTAAAAGTACTCGACGGTATATAGTACTTACGCGCACATGACGATTAAGTACTCTTGAATTAACAATAAACCGTGTTAACCGTTCAGCTAAATAAAAAAAAAAAAAAAAAAAACAAAAAAAAAAAAGATTGCAATATTACTTGTAGAAATTTTGTAATATCGATTTTGAATCGTAGGAGATACAAAATGGAGTATCAATTGCCCATCAAAGTCTATAATAATAAGTACGCATATAGGGAGAAACATTTTCTGCTCGAATCGATATCTTCCTGATGATGAGCAATCAAGAAAATTGTTATATAGTATATACGTAATTTTTTCAACTATTAAAAAATATAAAATCAATCTTTTTCAATAAACGTTTTCAAGAAAACGAAATATATATATATATATTCGGACTCGTTCGATATCTTGTATGACTATAAAAATTAAATAAACGACAATTATAATGCATTTTATCGTTTATTCGTGATTATACGATTTGTGCTATATTTTATTTTTTTTTTTTTTTTTATAACCAGATCAAATTCAATTTTCCCATTTTTATCGACATATATATATACACTTCAAAAACCAAAATATAATTTATTATATAAAACACGTACAAGAAAAATATCGTACATTCAAAATACACGTATATATATAAAAAACGCTAAAAAATTTCATGTAAATTACACGTGAACCAAATAAAGCAAGAGATAATAGCGATGTTATTCAGAATGAGAACTTGACATTAATATTAATCATTGTAACTGATTCAAAAGACATATATATATATATATATGTGTGTGTATATAATATATATAATACGTAAAAAGAACAAAATAGTATAGCGAGGATAAATATATGCGTAGAATCATAGAAATATTTGAGTCAAAATCTTAAATACGTGAAACATCAAACAGCGTGTGAATCTCTATTACGTCGTTAAATATTATCTTCCTGGAATTGCAAGGGAAGCTCGAAGATATTTCTTTCACGCACAAAATTATTCTTTCTGTTTGATACATTCGTCTATAAAAGAGAATTTCTAACAGTAATCAATTAATATTTCATATAAATTGTTTGAACAAAAGTATGATACCACTCAAAAACGGAAATAGATAATCTTGATAATATAATTCGAATAGTTTTCGTTCAATATGCAAATCCTTTCGCAATCTGCATAAAAATATCATTTTTCATACTTATAGTTTCTATATACTATGTAATATGCAAGAATGTATTTCATAATAAAATCCCGGAAGCACCAATAAAATACAAAAATAAAAATGCACGAATATTGTTGCGAACAAGAAGTGGAACAACTTTCTATGTTTATTATCGACTAATCGTTCCCTTTTTTCTTATACGCTAATGAAACACGTTGAAAGAAATAAGAGAACAATTCGCCTTGGTTCAACCAACCAGAAGAAACATCGTTTCTCCTTTCTTTCCGAATGCGAATTTCTCTCTCTCTCTCTCTCTCTCTCTCTCTCTCTCTCTCTCTCTCTCTCTGTCTCTCTGTCTCTCTGTCTCTCTGTCTTTCTTTTCCTAGAAAATTTTCCTAAAGCTACGTAGAATATGACAAATGCAAGTAAAAACAATACTGCTCATTAGTTCAACACTCGAAAATATCTGTAATAGTATTACCCACGCTATCTCTAAATTCGACATGAACACACTCGAACACATCATCTCACTTATATCGGATCAACATGAAATCTACAATCATCGAGACTATTGTACATTGTAGTATACTGCATTCAGATCTCATCTTGCAAGGAATAAGCGTCACATATATGAATGTATAGTAATACGATCTATGACAATCTTGTCGGATAAATCTTTCTCTTAACTTGCTATACGCGATAAGCAGGGAAATATCGATTACTTCCCATATATGTTATACTGACTAATACATAATGTAATATGTAATATGTAATATGTAATATGTATACATATAATGTGCGATAATACATATTACATTAATGTATTTGATTATATAAAGAATCGCGTAACAATATACAAATTGACGTGTCCCAGGTTTGATTCAACCTTTCCACGTACCAATATAACTTTTGCATTTCGGACAGAAATGATGGACACTCATGAAGTTGCTCATACAATACGGTAGGCATGAGCAAAGGCAACATCTGAAATTTGAAAGAACATCGGTCAAAATTTTTTTTTTTTTTTAGGATCTAATAGAAAACCACATACACCAAGACAAGACGAGAACATATTTGGAAAAAACCGTGCACTCTTGAAAGCTTAGGAGAAGAGCCATATTATAAGTAAAGAGGACCCATATATAAATATTTTAGTGTTTCGAAAGTGAATATGAACTGGAAATCCGTGCGCTATTTCTACAAAGCAATACTAATCTTAAGTCGGAATGAAAAACGATAAACAAAACCAAGGCCAATAGTAAGTCAGTTGAAAAACAATCAAGCATGTATTCTGATATAAAACTCGTGTTAATAATAATAATATAAATAATAAAATTATTACAAATATTCTTAATATTTCCTATTCGTAATTTTTAAAAAGGTCTATTATATTTGTATCGAACAATTGTAAGAAAAACACAAAGAAAATGTGTGTAATAAATAAAAGATAAATTAAAAATAAAATAAGCAGCAAAAGCAATTTTATAGCGTAAGCAATGCAACAAATATTTAAAAAATGAATGTACACTCACCCAAATAAGCAGAGCAAGATACAGCATAGATGAGCACATCGCTGATGATCCGACATTGTGGAAGTTTTAATATTAGCATGACAAGTGGGACACGTTGTTTTTGTTGGATTTGGACTCAAAGAATAAATCATTGGCTGATATACAACTCGGACTTCCGGTTGAGGCACCGCATTCGGATTTGCATTATATTGTGTCTGTTGCTGTGGCATAGATTCGCTGGGCCCAGAATAATTCGGTGGATATGGCACCGTCGTCTGATTCGATGGAATTATCTGAGGAGCGTTATCTGAAATTGCAATTAATCTATTCGTTCAATTGTGTATCATCAAAAATTTATATTGATTTATAATATAAAAATAAAATAATACGTACGAGGCATAGAAGATGACATTGGCATAGAAGATGGTCCCACTGGATATGGAATTCCTACTGGAATGTTTGGTTGCCGAGATATACGAGCTGCATTTTCAACAGCCTCTTCGTAAGAAGGAGGTGCCGAAGGTGGAGGAGCTGAGGGTTGAGTACTTCCACTAGCAAACGCCATATTTTTTTCCATTTCTTCTAAAATAATATTTAAATACAATTTTAAATATCTTATACAAAATACATGTACTATCGCATGTATCAATCGCATACCGAATAAATCTAGCTCTAATAAAAAAATAGGTCGAATTGGATGCTATGGATGCTATCACGTTTGAACATAAACAAACATAGACAAATGAGCGCGAAAGTGCTTATGTGCGAATAGAAAGTTGAACGGATGTTAAGTAATAAAGATAATGCAAAGTATGTTGGCTTAGAGAACCGTTTCTAGAAAATTTAGAACCCATCATACTTACATTCGTGTTCTTTGTTCCATCAGATATTACGTTATGGTCTTGCTTCAAGCTTGGATTATATTATTCAAACGTAATATTCGAATAATCACTTAACCTCGATTCAATGTGAACACGAGAATTACAAAGTTTTCAAAGTTATTACGTTTGATACATAAATCAAATATACAAATTATTTTGAAGATCTTTAGTTTAAATCAGTAATTTTCAATTTTTTTTATCTCATATAATAAAAACATTAAACAAATTAATTATTAAAATTCTATGACATATCAAAAAAAGCATTAAATTCTTTAAAATATATTTTTTTTACTAATTTTCAAAGAAAAATATTTTTTTTCCCTTTCCAAAATGAAAATAAAATATTGAGAAATTTGGAAATAATTATATTTATTACTTTTCTTCAATTTATATATAAAAATCTTGAGTGTGACTTATGAATTTATCGTAGTACATTAGTATGTCATATCAATTGAAAGTCATTGATATAAATAAAAGATCTTTTCAAACGCAAATATATGACACTAACAATAAAAGAATGTACATATCAAAGTCTACGAGTCAAAGCAAATTTAAATTATTAGTCATAACAATATTCAGAATATATTATATAAGTTAAAAACTTTATAAAATATAAAAAAATTCATAATTTATTTCAATAAATGTTAAATCCATAATAATTTTACATCAAATAAAGTATATATGATTATATAAGTATCTAATTAGTAAATAGCATACATGAGAAATGAATATTGGTTTTTTTAATTTAGATGCGTTGCATATGACGTAAAAGTTTAATGCATCGATATAACTCTTTTCAGACTTTTGATAAAACTATTTCAATTAAGATTATAATATAAACTAACCTACATAATCATCCTACATAATCAATAATGAATAAATTTTTTATAAAGAAAAATAAAAAAACATAATATTCTTACCAAATTGATTTCTCAAGATTTCGAAGTCACGTAGTCGCTATTTGCGAAGAGGAGGTTAGTTATAGTTGAACACTCCGAATTAATAATGACTTGTATGCACCATAGAAGTATTAATATACATATCGTACTATTAGATAGTTAATTATTTCGTAACATTATATAACATTTTTCATGTATTTATAAAAAAAATGAAGAAAACTACACAATACTTGGCAAAAACTGTCACATTAACATAACTGAAACGACAGACAAGAGTCTGTTGTAATTTTTGCCAATGACCAATCATAGCACTGGTATCATTCCAGAAACGAAACTCAGGAAAATGGCGCGGAACATTTTAAATAATATCATGTGCAAATAATTTTTATTAAAATATAATCAATCGATAAAAATTTTATTATCTATATAAAATTTTTATTATTTTTATAAGTCAAAAAATTTTTTATATATATATAATATACAAATATTAACAAAATACTAAAATATTGTTTGATTATTAAAACATTATTTGATTCATTTTGATTCGTAGTATCGTGCAAACTTTTGCCGCGTTTGGATGATGGTGTGGTTCGATTTTTAAACAAAAAAGTGTAATATATTTATCAAGAGATAAAATTGATAAGTGTCTAGAAAAGAAGTCAGTTCTTAACTCATTTTTGTAAGTAAAAATATAAATTTGATTAATATAATAATTTTTAAATATTTCAAATTCGATGCAATTGAATTTTATTGGCAGAATTGCCAATAGATAAGTGATTCAAAAAAATTGTTTACTCTTTTAACAGTCTGTATTTTACATGTTTATTATCACATATTTATACATTGCGTTTTTATATTAGTTATTTATAATCTGAAAATTTAATTTAATTACGAAATTAATTTTTGAGGAATTTTTTTTGAATTCGTTTCATAAATCTATTATTATAATAATTTGTTGTATTTTGCTTATTTCCATGCAATTTATATTTTATATATTTCACACGATGAATTTCAATATAAGTAATCTCGACAAATTTATAATATCTTAAGTATATTTCTTTCTTTTCTATATTAATCATAAGTTGGTAACAGTTTCTGCCAGATATTTCTGTTACTTATTGAATACAGAAGTTTATAAAACATTCTATCAAATACGTTTGAAATTATAATTAATTGAATTTTGTACATTACTTATTAGAATATACAAAAATGTAGCAGTATATATAATAGTGAATATTTAAATATAAGATTGGAACACAAAAAGTTCCTTATAGGTTAGAAATCATGAAAATAAATTTATATTTTATGTTTCAAATGATAAAAGAATAGTATTTTAAAACAAAATGAGATCATTAAAAGATATTCATTAAATATTTATATTATATATAAATGAATGAAGCCATATTTATTATATTAAATTGTATAATATAATATTTTCAAAATGATGCATTATACACCTTGGATCCATCATCAAACAGTGCTGGACAATCATCAATGTTATACACCATATATAAATACTGTGCCATCTTATCCACATAATAATCATGAGCAACAACATATTACAGAAGAAGAGAGTGAGCAAACAGGAGATGAAACACATGATACAATGACTTCTGCTACATCAGGAGAGCGTAGTTCTAGTGCTGATATATTTAGATTAGAATTTGCAGCAGCCCAATGGTCAAAATTAGTTTCAAATGCAGAAGGTCTTTTTACTAAGCTTATGACAAGTAATATTTTACCTCATACAGAACAAGATCAAATTGAACAATGGCTTTGTATGAAACAAGAATACGAAGAATGTATTGCTAGTGATGATACTGGTAGTTTACAAGGTTATACGGAAAATGCAAGAAGATCATTAGAAAGGATAGAAGAAGTAACTGAAACTGATGAAAAAACAGATGAATCTATACATCAAATGGAAAGAAAAATTGAAATAAATTGTTTATCTAGTTCAGAAAGTGAATTATCTGAAACTAATGATGATGATGAAGAAGAAGAAGAAGAAGAGGAAGATCATAGTGATGTTAGTTCAGAAAATCCAGATTTCTTAGAAAAATTAGACGAATGTATGAATAAACTTAAGATAGAAACAGATAGAATAGTTGATTCTACAAGGGATGAATTTAGAGAAACAAATATAGAGATTATTCCAACTGTGGCAAGATCTATAAATACTAATAATAATGTCCTTGTAACTAGAGCTGTTCCACTTAGAAATCCAAATTCCAGGAGGAATTCAATGCTTCCTGGTTCTGAAATGTGTAATGAAGTATTAGCCTTCAACGATAGCCTTAAACCTAACCAAAATCAAATTTTAGATAATAAAACTTCAGCATTTACTAGTATAAGAATATTAGACAATTGTGAATCTGAAACAATTATTAATGAAAATCATGCGACTCATAATGATAATTCACCAGATTTATTAATTGATGCTTTGAAAACAACAGAAATGCCAGAGCCTATTAAGGAATTGAAAACATTGACATTAAATAACGAGGCAAAACAAACTCAAGTGAAAAAAATTCAATCAGATTTAGATGGAGCTCATAAACGTATAGAAGAGCTACAAACTACTATTAAAATCAAAGAAAAATTCATCGCAGATATGATAAAAAATTCAGATGCGCGCGCTAGCGCAAAACAAAAATTTCAACGCAAATGGAGTAAATTGGAAGAAGAATATTATAATACAAGAAGCCAATTGGCTCAAGCTGAAAATGCTTCCATCTACAAAGATTCAGAAGAAAAGTCTGCCCATAAGAAAGAGATTGAGTTATATAAAAACATGGCCATTCATTATGAAAAGAGATTGATGGATATTGAAATGATAAAACAAATTGCAGGTGATTCTGCTAAAAAAGTATTAGAACTTGAAAGTTCCTTAAATACATCTAGAAAACAAATGGAAAAATTGAAGAAACAATTGAAAAAAGAGGAGGAACGTAAGAAACAATTAGAAGAAGAATTAGCAGAGGATCAGAAAAAAATTCGTGATCTCGAAGAAAAATATAATTTAACAGCTTCCAAGTTGAAGGAGATGCAATCGGAAAGCGAGGATGAGAAAAATAATAGTAAATCTAAAACCGATTATTCTGATAAAAAAAAGAATTTATTAGACGTTAGCGCGAGAATATCGCATCTTGATCATGTTTTAAAAGAAAAATCGATGGATTTAGAAAGAACGGCGGATATAGACGAAAAGGAAGCTTTGCGTCACGAAATTCGAAATCTACGACGTACTCGTGATTGTTTAGTGGACGAGAAATGCGATCTAGATGAAAAATTTCAAAAAGAAAAGACACTGTCCACTGTAGAAGAGAGGAAATTATTGGAATGCGGAGAAACGATCGAGGCGATCGATGCTATGATCGAGCATAAGAATGAAATGATTTGTGGACGGAAGGGATTCGATGAAAATCAATCACAGCGTGAAAAGGGGGAAAGAATGTTAATGGAAAGATTGGCGAAACTTTCAGATGGTGAAATGAGAACTTTATTCTATAAATATTTTCTAAAGGTAATCGATTTAAAAGAGAGTTCAAAAAATCTGGAAGTTCAAACAGCTGAATTGGAAAGTCATATAGAAACTCAGGAATGGCAAATTCAAACGTTAACAAATGCTTTAAAACAAACTAAATTGGAAGCAGAGAGACGAATAGTTTTGATGCAAAGGGAACATGAAGAAAAATTACATCTCATGTTTAGACATTTTGCAGAAGAAACTAGTAGTTCTGGTCATGAAAGATTGGACAAAGATTCCGAACTTGCGAAATATAAACGTGAAAATAGAACGTTGAGAAAACGATTAGCAGATGTTGAAGCTCTTTTGAAAGGTCCAACACCACCACGTACAGCTAGTCCAGCAAAAATATCACAACAAGGGTTGAAACAAATTCCACCATGTAATCGACCAACAACCAAAGTAACTAGGCAGCGAAATAAATTGATAATACAAAAAACCACTGACTGCGATAAGAAAAAAAAATAAACTTTTCTGAGAAGTTTATTATATTTTATACTTCTTCTCTGTTAACATTTCTTTTTTACTCTATTTTTTTATTTTTTGTACAGTGTCTAGCAATTACATTACTAATTTAATAGAACATACAAATGCACATTATCATTTTTTTTTAAATGTACATTTTATATTAAGTATTCAGAGAAGTTTTTATCGTTTTCTAATTAAAGAAAAATTAAAGAAATATCGATAAAAATTTTTCTAAACATTTAATATTATTTAAAAATACAATCAATAGATTCTTATTTCGCAAATATTCAATTTCAGATTTTCAGGAAGCAAATCCTTCAAGCATAATTTATATAAATAATAAAGATATATAATTTTATACTCATTTTTCCCTCTTTCGTTCGATTGTCAATCAATATTTATTATATAATCATGAAATAGATTCGATTTATAGTATATACTTATAAAACTAAGAATATTGAACCTCAATCAAAATAGCATTTGCATGTTTGCCAGATCTCAATTAAGAAAATAAGTATTGCATTTAAATATGATAAATACAATCAAATATTTATTATATTGTTAATTATTTAAAGAAAATAAAATCCGAATTATTGATGATCAATTAAATGCTCGTTGTATTAAATATAGTATAAGTATTCGATAGTACATTGTACGCAATGCGCAATGTTAGTAGTTCCATTTAGTAACAATAGATGCATTTTACACTTGATAGTGTAAAAATCTTATGATATTAAATAATTTATATAAGATAATATTCTTTACTTCCGATATATTATTTATTGCAATTTTGTAAATATATTAATAATATACATTGAATACAATATTGAATCCTTTAGGCCCTCGCTGAAATATAATATAATAATTTATTTATAATTTATGAAATCATTAAATTCCTATATACACACGAAAGTAATAACAAAGGCCGAAAGAATTAATATCCTTTACACTTTCACAAAATGAAATCTAAATAAATATTCAATTATTGAAAAAAAAAAAAAATGTGTTCTTCATTTCATGATTAAATGCAGAATTATTTTATTTTTATAATTTGTAGAAAAGTATATAATTTTTTTTTTTATATATATCAATTGACATAAAATTAATAAAAAAAATTATATTAAAATATTAATTTTTAAATAGATTATGTATATTATTTATAAAATATCTATGAAAATTTACCAAGTGTAGTTTCCGTAGTGTAGTGGTTATCACGTGTGCTTCACACGCACAAGGTCCCCGGTTCGATCCCGGGCGGAAACATGTGGGGTTCTCTTTTTCATTCTTCACTTCATATTTTTGCTAAAATAAACATTTTAAACATTGCTAAAGAATAAATTTATTTATATTTTTTTATTTTCTTTTTTTTCTCGAAATTACTTTTATTTTAGAAATTAATATTTTCTATACATATATAAAAAAAATATTAAAAATACTAATATTTGTATAAATAATAATATATTTTATACTGCATTCGTGATTTATCAATATAAAATAGAAATGAAAACATTTTTTTTTTATAATATATATGTTATTAAAAAAAGAAATGCATTAGAGACAATTATATAATATAGTAATTATCTATATAGTAGCAATCGTGTCAAAAGCATGTTGTATATTTTAAACGACGTTGCTATCAAGTGTCAGGATGGCCGAGCGGTCTAAGGCGCCAGACTCAAGGTTAATCCCCTTTTCAGTCCAAGACTGAAGCAATGTGCATTCTGGTCTCCATCTGGAGGCGTGGGTTCGAATCCCACTCCTGACAAATTTTTTCTAATTTTTTATAAACATTTAATTCCGAAAAAATACTTTGTATTTTTTAATTTTTGTTAAAAATAATTTTAAATATTTTCGGATGCGAATAACCAGCGCCGCGTTTCTTGAGTTCAATTCTCATTAAAATGCTTATTTTTTTTATTCCACAGAAATAAATGGAAAATATCATATTACGAGAGAATAGCGAAATAAAATAATTATTTTATTTTTATAACCATAAAATATTTCGCTTTGTTTTAGATTCAACAGTTTCTTTAAAATTTTAGACGCATGTATTTTTGTGTATTAGATACAATAATATTAAATTATTTTTTAATATCACAAGAAATATATGCTTGTAAATAATTAATTTAACGAATTTTTCGCGTTATTACATTTAAGTTGTACTAATTATAAATTCTACTACTTGATTATTTCTATTATCAACTTATGTCGAGTAATGAAAAAGCACACGTTCGAAAATCCGGTATGGTCTAGTGGCTAGGATACCTGGCTCTCACCCAGGCGGCCCGGGTTCGATTCCCGGTACCGGAATTCTCTTTTTTTCTTATTTTACGTTAATTAATTACCTTTACTTTCAATTAAAGTTACTTTACCGATTAATCTTGCGTCAAAGTAGAAATCGCAAGTCCCTAAATTTATCTACAATCTTCGAAATATTACTCGTACTTCACGTTAGATCTCAAACATTCATTAGCTACCGTATTCGCGATTTATTTGATGTACAAAATACAGTCGTTATTCGACAACACTGTTGCCTTACACTGTTCTTATTCTTCGCGTAAATGCCTAGTAAGACGTAGCTCCGCTTGTCTATCGGTATGCAATCACTGCCATTTTTATCGACATTTGCGGAAATGGCTTGGAGACCCAACACGTGTATTACCATCCACTCTATAATTCCGAAAAACGGTCGCAATTTTCTCGAGAGGTATCGCGTCAGAATGATTGAAAATAACCTATGGTAACTTGTCAGGATTAAAGTACATGCATACGTAATGCGCAAACAAAATTACGTACTCGCACGTATACAGCGACTTCAAGAAAACTTTTCCACTTACTCGTAGTCGTAGGGAGACAGATGGCTCATGCATCCGGTCACGAATGGATGAAATCAATTCGAAGATTAACGAGCATTAAAATTAATTATTTGAAGTGAGAATCGAGACAGTAAATTTATCGTTCGTGCAATAATTTATTTATTACGAATAATATTGCAAAGATTTGTTAAAAATATTCATATCTTTTACGAAGAAAGTGTTTATTTTCTATTTCATACAGGTACAGTGGTCTAGGAGAAATCGATTCGAGTTGCTCGCACATTTCAAAATACGCGTATTTCATGTACAAAGTATGGATGTTGGTAACGATGTGCATCCTGGCGATCACCGTCTTCGCGGATATTTACGCGAATATGGATAATTTGTCGATCACAACCGACGATGGTTGCATCTTCGCTGGCATCTTCGTTGTGATATTCAAAGCGATGAACCTTCAAATTCATCGAGGAAAAATGAAAAAATTGTTGCACGATATATTCGAGTGTGGCGACGATCTCTGCGAATTTTCCGGCGAGTGAAATTCAATTTACGTTATTGTATAAAAAAAAGAAAAAATTAGAGAGAAAAACTACGAACGATCCAATTAATGAAAACGAGAAACGTTTTTCTAACATTTTCGACATTTTTTTCGTAATCATCGTTATTTCGTTCAAACATTATCATTTCTGTTCATCGAATCTTGGTCTGGAAAAAGAGATGAGTGAAACGCCTCTGAGATTAAAATTAAGAGCGAACGGTCGAGACCCGTATCTCTGATGTGAAATGACGCAGCAAATGATGCACGTTGACTTCATTAATTCAGGTCCACTTGGTCACTTTTCCATACCCCTATCTTCTATCCCATTCTCCCTTCACAACCTTCCCTCCTCTTAACCTGGAACTTTTTATTCAGAATTACTCGGCATATTTCTCGTATTTCGCAACCGCTCTTTCGTTGATTGGCGAATCAACACGTTCTCTCATACTCTCGCCGAAATTAAATAAAAGCACGGACAATTGTCTCTGTGTTTAATAACCCGATTGATCGTGATGAATTTTTTTTTTTTTCCAGAACTCGAAAGCGTTAAGAAGATTATCGACAAATATCACACACGTAACAAAGTGATGTTCTTTGGATTTTGCGGGATAGGAGCTTGCCTAGGATTCGCACTGTTGTGCTTCACGCCTATGGAGAATGGTTTGCCGATCAGGGCAAAGTATCCCTTGAACACGACCGTATCACCTTGGCACGAGATCAGTTTCTTCGTTGAAACTTGCGCCGTATCTGGCGGTCTGTTAGGAATAATCGTAATGGACAGCATGACGACTTTCAAGTGCAGCTTGATCACGATGCTGTTGGACGCGTTGAATGTCAATTTTGAAAATTGTAACTATGAAACGAAGCAGGTAGATACGATAAGATAAAAGAATTTCAATCTCTTTTCAATTTTTCAAATTGAAAATAGAAATAGAAAATAGAATTAAATTTTCGAAATTTCCTTTCTTCTTTACAGACGATCGATGGATACAATGTATACAAGGAAAAACGGAATAATAATAATAATAGATTCCTCGATCGTTACAAGAAGTGTGTTCAATTTCATCAACGATTAGTAATCATATCGAAGGATTACAACGAGATATACAATTTAAGCATGTTCGTTCAGATGCTTTCCAGCACCTCGATCATATGTCTGACTGGTTTTCAAGCTGTTGTGGTAAGATACGACTCGATGAAGATATAATCGCCAGCTCGTGTGTATCATGATCGATTTTCATCGGTCGAAACAGGTCGGAGGGCAAAGTTCGAATATTATGAAGTACGGGATTTATCTTAGCGCTGCTATGTCTCAACTCTTCTACATCTGTTGGTTAGGGAACGAGCTCTGTTACGCGGTAAGGATTAATTGGATCGATCGTTTTTAATCACTGAGCGGGAAAAATGAATGAAATTTTACCGCTCATCAAGCGTTAAACGGATTATTGCGAGAAAAAGGAAAAGAGAAAAAGGAAGGATGAATTATTATATGAATTATTTCGTAGAGTTCGATGTTGGATAAAAGTCAATGGTTCTCGGGCTGGCAACACGAGCGTTTGACCGATATCGCTCAAGTGTTCACATTATCCACGGTGTTCACCAGAAAATCTATAATTCTAAGAGCAAGTGTATTTTACATTCTGTCTTTGGAAACTTTTATCGTGGTTCGTAGATGAGATACACCATAATTTTATTATACAAAACAGAATAGCGTTTCATCCAAAGAATACGTATTCGCATTGCAGATTATAAAGAGATCTTACTCGTTTTTTACCTTATTGAACAACATGGATTTAACGGATCATTAACACCGTCGTTCTGCCGTCTTTATTGCCGTATTAACATGCAAGAATTAACGCGCAAAGAAGCATCGATTATAATATTCCCCGGTTAAAAACGGTAAACGGAAGCTTTGCCCAACATCATCATGATTTCACAACCATGTAAAAGTAAGAATAGAAACCCTATTTTTTGAAAAAAAAATTCATCAATGCTCGTTAATGTTCTCGACAATCTGTTCCCTCATCACGCTCGCGGCGGAATCCTGTTCGGGCCAATAACCTTGCAAATTAATAGTCGAACGAAATTGTTCGAGAATTTGCCGATCCGTTCTGTTTGCACGCTAATAATGGCGTTACAATAATAAACTATCTTCAATTCTCTCAAAATTTGTCAATATTTGAAAGAGAGAGAGAGAGAGAAATTGATTCCTTAATTTTTATTAATTTCTTCAATTAATTTCTTAACCGTCTTCGTGAATGTTAAAATTGTTCATTCGTGGACTGACGAATCGGAAGCCGATCGCTCGTCGAATCCGATTAAAACGAAATTACGATTGGAAATCGACGACCGTCGATTAATTTATTACTAGGCGTGAATGTTGGCGATAAAGTATCGACAAAATCACAGCGCGGATCGTTTCGCATGGCTCGTTAACGTCCGAGTTAAAACGTATATATTTATTCGTCGTGGGCAAAGATGATGGAAATTCGACGGTGTAATTAAACGGCGAACGCCTTTTACCGCCCTCTGCCCATCCTCTGTTCATCACTGTGAAACACGAGAACGGCTCGTGTCTTACCAGGACTCCTCTCCGCGTTTTCAATCTCCCGTTTGATCTGACCGATGACTATCTGCCCTGATTTATAGCGCCCCACCTGCCCTCGTAACGCGGCTTTCGTTTCATTTAACCGAGCTTACATAAATATCACTCCAACTTGGCCAAGCATTAACGAAACAAAGTGCTGTTTCGTTTTCACCTGTCTCGTATCGAAGATGATTCTCGGATTCTCATCAACGAACGGGACAAATTTTCGCGTTTTAAATTATTGTGAAATATTTCTCGAATAAAAACTCCCTCCCCTTCTTCTTCTTTATTTTAATGATAATAAGTTTATTGTACCATTGTACCGAATCGAATTGTAAACTCGAGACGCACGATTGTTCAAGGAACAATAAATCGTAGAGTATTTCACGTAGGTGCAATATATTTCTTCTTCATATTCCGCGGCAAGGGGCTGTCTATTCATCGACTTTTATAGCGCGCTCAATAAATTCTCTTCCGCGAGAGGAGAGAGAGAGAGAGGGAGAGAGAGAGAGAGAGAGAGGACATTAAAGTTTCATCATTCGGTAGCGTTTAATTCAATCGTTTCTAATCCCTGGACTATCCTCTTAGGAAAATAATTACGCGTATACAATTCGTTCGAAGTCGAGGGAATAATTTTCTGCCTCGTCGCGTATCGGAAGATCGCGTCCCGATCGTGAGGAAAGAAAAGGAGGGAGGATGTCGTTGTTCCGCCAGCCATTCCACCGCCACTTGCTTCCTAGACAGATGGTCGGTCCAGCACATGTTATCTAACTGTAGGTCCCCTTCAACCGTCATTTCTATATACGTTTGTATCCTACGTTTCCACGGCGAGGCTGTCGCTCTTTTGCCGTGGCGTCCATTTCTTGCGGTCGTCTTGCGTCTTTTCTTCCCCTCGGAAGGATGAACCGATCATTATTCGCCTCTTCTTGCCCGTTTCCTTTCCACTCGCGTGGCTTTCGAAAGAATCAACGATTTTCTCGAAAAAAAAAAAAAAAAAAAGAACAATCGATAGTAAAAGAACGATCGTATCATTCCGATTAGAAGAAATCGAATTATCTCGACTCGAAACGTTCTCCAATATGTTTACATTATTACGAGCGTGCCGAGGTGGACTTTAACCGCGTTACGCAAAAGTATTAAAAAAAAAGGAACCATTTTCTATGGTTGTAAACGTTCATTTCCTTTTACGTACCCCCTTATCTCGCAGAAATCGCGTATACGATTCGCGATAAAAAAAAAAGGGGGATATATCGCGCGGAATGCAAATAGGAAAATTCGTTTTATTACCCAATAATTCGTTTTATCGCCCGCTCTAATGTGAATTTATCGCGAGACAAATCAATTGCGGCGAACACGCGCCAATAAAGATTTAAACAAGAAGAAGAAGAGGAGGAGGAGAAAGAAGAAGAAGAAGAGGAAGAAGGAAGAAAAAGAAAATGAAGAATCCTCGCAACGACGGGGAGGGATTATGATCCAGCGTTAAAAATGAAGCGTTTGTTCCGCGTGTGGTCCCGCCGATCTCTCTCCTTACTTATCGCGCCTTGAACTCGACTCTCCTCCTCTGTAGGGGGACATAGCATAAATTTCACCGGTGAAATTTTCGTACGAGTCCTTTCATCTGATTCTCCCGAAAAAAATGATCCGGCCGCCGCTCGCCTGACCCGTGCCTTCATCCGTCGCATCCTTCTTCGCCCCCTCCTCCCCCGATCGCGCAGTTTCTGGAGCCTCCAGAAACTGGAGTAACAGCCAAATTCCAAATTCTCATTCCTTTTAGCCGCGTCCTCGACACCCGAGGGGGGGGTGGGTCATCCGCCTCTCGTCAAGAGTCCGCCTCGAATTCGTATGTGAGAAATGGTTGGAAATTTTGTATCCACCTTCTAACTTCGATCGGAGGCGGAAATAGACGGTTAGAATAGCGGTTGAATTGAGCTTCGTTCGCGCGAACGAAAATTCGTTACGTGGGTAGAGCTACGCAAGCTGGACAAGTGAGCCGGGTGGAGGAGGAGGAAAGAGGAGGGAGGAAGAACAGTTCGATGACAAGGTAGAAAACTTAATGGATTTCACGAAAGGGGGCGAACGATTAATTGGATCGGTGTAATGAATTTTTATAGGGGCGAATGAATCGGTCTCATCTTTCCTTTTTTTTTTTTTTTTTTTTTAATTCAATCGAGAAAAATTAATAGGCCATTTTTCTCGGTGGGCGTTCCTCCAAGGAGGGGGGGGGGAGGGGGAGTCCTCCAAGAGATGGATGGAAAGCGGGATCGATCGATCATTTCTTCGATCGTATCGCCGCATGTATAATAACGTTTTATAAATCGAGGAAAAGTTGCGCGAAACGGGCCACACGATACTACAAATACGATAAAAATTGCCATTTTCCATCGTGCCATTCGCGAAGAAGAGGCATGTGCATCGAGAGATTATTACATCCATTTACAAAAAAAAAAAAAAAAAAGAAGAAGAAGAGGAAAAAAAGCGTGTACTCGCCGTGTACCGTACACCGTGCACCGTATAAAAATTTCGAGGCATCTTGATACGTATGATAAAGTTGCGTAAACGTTGGAATTCGACTTATCGGATTAAAAATAAAGGAAATACTCGTGAATGAAAACTCGATGGTAAAAAAAAAGAGTAAGACAATACGTGGCTAAGGATTTTAATTATGGAAGGTCGATCGATTCGAAGAAAAGCTCGGGAACGGAGATCACGGTGAACCGATGATTTACAAGATCGGGAAGAAATGGAGTAAATAGACTCGCTCGTTTCCCTCTCCCCCGAATCGTAAATCTATTTAATTGAAGGAAGAAATTTTACAAATTCCGTTAACGGTACTCGCGTACAGCCCTTTCGACCAAACGTTTCCTCGATTTCAACCAATTCAATTGCCATTAATCCCGAATTTTACGAGTCGAGAAATACTCGCGCATTACTCACTGCGAAAATTTAATTTAATTGGAAATTCATTAAAATTCCAATACTTTGCGCGCGATCATCCCAATTTCCAGCTCATCTTCCCTATTTGGGCCAAGATTATCGTTAAACCGGAAGAGCGTATACTCGATAAAAAAATATCCGAGGGAGAGAGAGAGAGAGAGAGAGGGAGAGAGAGAGAGAGAGAGAGAGAGAAGAAAAAATACAAGAACAAAAATACCAAAGATTGCTCTTTAATTATCTTCCGGGTGGTCAGGTGAATATTCGCTACCCGGCATCCGTGCACCCGGATAAAAACGAGTAAAAACAGCATCTTTGATTCTACGGTAAACTGCTGGTCCCGATGTAACCGTATAATCTCTCGAAACGGCCTGTCACGATTGTGTGGTAGCCCATTTCCAAGCTACTACTATTCGCTTAAAATACATACGAGAGGATCGTATTTCCATTCCATTCTGAATTCGTGCGCGAATTTACTAGGGAATCTTAAAAAAAGACAAAAAAAAAAAAAAAAAGGAAAACAGCGATACACTTATTCGAGACACGTTGCCGAACTCTTGTAAAACTCGATCCATATCGGTCGATAAATCCTAAAGAAACATGGCCTCCCGAAAAATTTTGCAATAAATCTGTCCACGGGATCGAAATCCCTTCCTTCCAGC